AACTCCCAGAATTCCCCAGCCAGCAAGACTGGCTGGGGAATTCTGGGAGTTGAAGTCCACATATCTTCAAGCTACCAGAGTTGAGAAACACTGGATTAGGGTAAAGGGAGCAATGCTGCAGAGAGGACGAGGGTGAAATGGGGGTGACTGCAGAGTTAGCTAACATGCCTTCCATCTTAAGCATAATGTGGTTAGTGAGGCTATGGAGAAGTTCTTTGCCCACAATTTATACTGGTTTATCGGTTTACTCATCCAAACCATAGTTGAGCCTCTCCTGGAGATGAGGGCCAATCTATAAATAACCTCCCATTAAAAACAGGTTTGTGGAGCAGCCAAAAATGAGATTCCGTGTGCAATGGGTTTACCACTCCTCTTTTCATTTCCTCGCCTTGAGCAGGGTGTAAAAAACCAAAATAAAGGCCTCCAGAGTGGTGGGGAGGCTCTAAGGCCAATTGGATCACTCCTGGTCCACCTTTTTAAAAGAAAAATGAGCGAGAAATGGGAAATAGCAGTTGACCAGGCACTACAAAAGTTCCCACTCTGCCAGTTTAAACCAACAGCTTTTTAATTCTTTTGTTTTACATGATCTGCTTACTCTTGTTAACCGTCAACAGATTGGAAGCATCTCGTGGAACAGAAAGGCAATTAGAAGCATTTAAAATCGACCTAATAAAACAACAGGGTTGGATCCAGAAAGAATGGCCATTCCTCTCTGTTTCGGTTAAAATCAGTGGGCTGTTTTAATGGTGACCACTTTATCACCCTGATTTCTGAAAAGTGTGGAATTTGATGCTCTCATGGCAGTGTTTCCCCAAGTTCAGTGCTAACTTACATGGCCCTTTTTTCCTTCCATAGTTCTCTGTTCTTTCCAGATGCAAGGCATTTCTTTTTAAAGGAGAATAAACCCTTTCTGACCCATTCTGAATGGATGGTAAAGCAGGCCACATTTTTCTTTGTCGCCGTGACCAATTTGGCATTTTGGTTGGCTCAGGGGGTAAATGCCTGCTGGTCAGAAAATAAAAACATGGAGAAAACAGGGATTTTTGTAAGCTGGTGTGCATTTTTTTCAGCTTTAAAAGGGTGCCACGGTTTCAGAAGGATTCAGCCAAATGTGATGCAAAAAAGAAAGATGTGGGTAATCGGAGGTGTGGAAGCCAAGTTGTGTAAGAAGAGATGGAGGAAAATGCTTGTGCTTGGCTGAGTTCACACGGCATGCTTAACCAAAGCAAGTAAAGACCCAAGGAGTTGTGTTTGCACACTTACAAAGCTTGATTTGTTTTAACCTTTATCCTGATGATTTAGTATATCGAGTGGGACATTTACAGGTAGGTTGTGATGAGTGCGAGTTTGAATAATGCGATATTCGATTTAGTGGGAATTGTCGACTGATACCAGGTCACATTTAAGGCGACCCAAAATTCAGTTAACGTGAGGCTAGTGCGTGCGCAGTTGAGGCTAGCACGTGCATGGTTGCGGTTGGGGTTTTAGATGCTGCTAAATTTTGTGTGCAAAATGGAGAAAAGGAAGATTCTGTCAGAGGAAAACAGTTCAAGTTTTAAAAAGAGGCTTATTATTTTATTAGAGCAAAAAATTTGATGTAATTGAACGACATGAACAGGGTCATAGCAACAGGGCCAGATGTTGGAAAGCTTGAATCTACAGCAGAATTTTTTTATGTCTATTTCATTTTCTATAAACTACTCTGTGACTTTGTTAACCATAAATTTAACTTATAAGTATCTTCTTTTTATCCTTTACTGTAATATTTTATTAATATACATTAAAAAGTTTATGCTTAAAAATTTTCATTGAGCTGGAACCTATTACCCTATTTTC